CCTGTATTGGCCTTTGGAGATCGGGAGGCAGAATGCCCCAGACTCCTCTTAAAAAAGCAAATTAACTGAACATCTGGCCGTGCTGGGTGGCCATTCAAGGTTATATAAAGTCGAGCCAAGCCAACAGACAGGAATCTCCCGCAGGAGAATCTGAAAAAGATAATCCAGAAGATTCTTGTTCCATAATGTGAGATTAGGACACGCAGTCTGACAGGATCCCCTTGAAATTGAAATCTTGTGCATGATTTGAGCAAAACATCCTGTAAAGACAGTTGGAACAGATATGGCGTTTATCTCATAAGAAGAATGACACGCGTTGTGTTGGACAGGGATTTTTGTCTCACAGTTTGTGCACAAGTAGTTGACCCTTTAATCTCTCCAGTTTTACAATTTTGTCAAGTGTCTAGCAGAAATAGACATGGCATCAACCTGTCCTGGAGCAGACTGTCGAGACGGTGGGAGAAGAAGCATTTGACTGACGGAGTGTAAAACAGACGTATAACTCAAGGCATAACATTCCTTGAAGGAATGCATATCGCCCACCGCCATTCATGCCAGATTTTTCTCAATTTAAATCACCTTTTGATAAGAAATGACACAGTGGTAAATGTTTTAGCTCATTATCTGTACAATTCACTGTAAAGCCATTTTTATGGAGGCTAATGTTGATTAGCTGTGACTATCTTGGGTTGACTCCAAAAATTAATCCGTTGCAGATTCACATCCAAGGATTTCTGCTTGAATATTTCATTAAAATCTGTCCACTAGTTTGTGAGAAATTTTGCTAACAAATAGAGTTGTGCATTTTATGCATTGCTGTAATGACTATTTTTCATAATCTACCATCCATCCATTATCTTCCGCTTATTCCGAAGTAGAGTCACGGGGGCAGCAGCTTGCAGGGAGGCCCAGACATCTCTTTCCACAGCCTCCTCTTCCAGCTTTTCCAAGGCATTCCCGGGCCAATCGAGAGACATAGTCTCTCCAGCGTGTCCTGGATCTTGTTCAGGGTCTCCTCCCAGTTGGACATGCCCGAAGCACCTCTCTAGGGAGGTGCCCAGGGAGCATCCTTACCAGATGCCCGAACCACCTCAACTGTCACCTCTCGAGGTGGAGGAGTAGCGGTTCTACTCCGAGTCTCTCCTGAATAACTGAACTTCTCACCCTATCCCTAAGGGAGAGTCCAGCTACCCTGCGGAAAAAACTCATTTCAACCACCTATATCCGCAATCTCATTCTTTCGGTCACTACCCAGAGCTCATGACCATAGGTGAAGGTAGGAACATAGACCGACCGGTAAACAGAGAGCTTTGCCTTACAGGTCAGCTCTCTCTTCACCACAACGGACCAGTACAGAGTCTGCAATACTGCAGATGCTGCACCAATCCGTCTGTCAATCTCACGCTCCATTCTTCCCTCACTCATGAACAAAACCCCGAGATACTTGAACTCCTCCACTTGAGGCAGAACCTCACCCTCGACCTGAAGAGAGCAATCCACACTTTTCCGGTTGAGGACCATGGCCTCAGATTTGAAGGTGCTGATTCTCATCCCAGCCGCTTCACACTCGGCTGCGAACCGCTCCGGTGAGAGCTGAAGATCACGGCACGATGACGCCAACAGGACCACATCATCTGCAACGAGCAGAGATGGAATCCTGAGGCCACCGAACCGGAAACCCTCCACCAGCTGGCTGCACCAAGAAATTCTGTCCATAAAAGTTATGAACAGAAATGGTGACAACGGGCAGCCCTGGCGGAGTCCAACTCCCACCATAAAGGGATCCAACTTACTGCCGGCAATGCAAACCAAACTCTTGCACCGCTTGTATAGGGACTGAACAGCCCGTAACAACAGGCCTCCAATTAAGAGCTATCATTTATCATCCATCAGGAACAAACTGAATCTTTGAAGTCAACACACACTGACTGGAAGTCAGATTTGGTTTTATCACCTGGTATGGGTCAAAAGATGCAGAAGACCCTTGGAGTCTTCAACTACGTCTGCTGCAGAGAACCGTATGAAAGAAGAGTTTCAGTCTGAGCCGTTCTGCTTCATTTGAGTCGGTGTCAAAAGGTCACGAAGTGACACACTTGACCTGTTGTCATTTTCAAAAGAGAAGCTGTGACAAGGTAAACATTAACAAATTACCAGATGAGTCCACGGATGGATCAGTAAGAGACTGATGTGTTTCTTTAGAGGTGTTTTCTGTTAATCAAAAGTAACTGAAGAAATTAATGCTTATTGCTGAAGAATTTGCAGAAAAACAGCTGAAATTAGCTAAAAACTTGCTGAATTGGAGCTGAAAATGTAGAACAAGTTTGAATCAGCAGAAGAAAGTAGAAAGAATGTTTGCCCAGTTAGGCTGAAAGAAGCAGAAATGAGCACAAAAAAGTGGAAATTATCTGAAAAAAGCCCAAATGAGCACAAAACTGCTGAAAAGTAGACAGAAATGCAGAAAGAAGCTTAAATTACCAGAAGGACGTGAGAGAGCACATTTTTCCTGAATTGGGCTAAAGAAAGTTGAAATGAGTGCAAAAAATGTTGAATTAGCTGAAAAGGCAAAAATTAGCATAAAAACAGCTCAACAGTAGCTGAAATAGCAGTAAAAGCTCAAAGAAGCTGAAATTAGCTAAAGAAGTTATAAGAAGCACAAAAATGTTAGCAGAATAAAGCTGAAAGGAGCACAAAACAGCTGGAACACCCCCCCCCCCCCAGCTGAAATCAGCTGAAAGTAGCTGAAAAAAAAATGTTTAAATTTGCAGAAGGAAGCTGAAAGAAGGTGAACCAGAACAAAATGTGAAAAAAGGACTAAAAGTTTGTGAACAGATCTGAAGATCTGAAGGAAGTGAAATGAGCTCCTCATTTCCTATTAGAAAAAAAAATGGTATAAAAGGCTAAATATTTAAAAAAGCTAAAGTTGCACCAATACCAAAACTCATATCACCCTTTACCTGAATGAGATGGACGTTTTGATTTATGATTTGTTGAAATAGCATAAAAATTCTGGAACGAGAAAGATGCCGAAAAACGTAGGGAAGAAAAATGGACCTCAATGTGAAAGCTTGATAAACATTCACACCATAAAAATCTGTATTTGGGGCTTAGCGTGACACACCAAACTATTATTTGTTACAACCCATTATTTGTGTGTGTGTGTAGTTTTACGTCTTAATCACAGGAGCAAACCTGCTACACGCGTCATCACTAACAGTCGACCTGCTGACCAACATCAAATAACTAATGACTCTACCAGTCATGGGTTGTTTGCAGACTCGGGGCCCTGCTTTCCTTCTTGCCATTGTCTCGTGCATGAGGTTTGAGATAACCAAGAATATCAGCTCAAGACGAAATCATCGCTCAGGTAGCGTGTCACATTTCCGTGACCTTTACTTGCCAGAACAATTCAGGCAGCTTCTTGTCCCTGCATCCGCTTCCTCTGTGCGTTTTTCCCACGCTTTGTGCGTGGACAGTGAAGGAAACCTGCTTAAAAACTGCACAAACAAAGCTTCATATGCTCGTGAGTGTGTGTGTGTGTGTGTGTGTGTGTGTGTGTGTGTGTGTGTGTGAGGGAAGAGTGTTTCCTTTATTTGGATGGGCTGTTTATTTGGAAATGACAAGGAAGTCTTGGTCTGCGTGGCGACCTGAAACAAGGTGGAGGAACATCCATGTTTTCTGCTCCGTCTTGTTTTGGAGGATTTCAGCTGAAACAATGAAGCTGAATTTACTGTGAGAAGCAACGAGAATTATCTCTTCCTGAAGGGGTTTTATCTCATGGATAACAGTCAATGGAATTATATAATAATAATAATTTCTAAAATAAAACTAAATAAATAAATAGCTGATTTTAAAAGTGCTATGAAAACTTTTGTTTTAGCCAAGGTCTTTTTTTTTTTTACACAAACACAAAAAAGAACAAAATAACAAAATTTTGAATTTTGAATTTTTGAAGCAAAGTAATTCAGAAAGGCTAGTAAGAGGGTCTGATATATACAAAGGCATGTCATCAGCATATAAAGAAACTTTGTGCTCTGTGCCTAATCAATTCATCCCCTTAACGATGGAGTTTTGCTGTAAAAGCTACAGATAGTGCTTCTACCTAACACAAATAGAAGCGGTGAGAGCGGCCCGGGAGTGTTAGGAAAAGTTTGACAAATCAGCCAATCAGAAACTCGTCCAAATGTTTTCATTGCTTCTCGAAAAGGCGAAGATGGACGACTCAAGAATCTCTTAAATTAAAAGATAGATTTTAATAAAAACTTGTGTAAAATACTCATTAATCATCAGTAAACTGGTTAACTTGTGCAACTGACCATAAAAAAAATGCTAAAACCCAGTTGTAGAAATCTGAGCTAAAATTTGGTGTGGTAGTAGCAGAGTCATCCACCCTGCATACTTTGAGTGCCACTCCTGCAGTGAGATCTTTGCTTAACCTCCTAAGACCCGCGGACTCTTGCGTGGATGCCAGGTTGTCCACATATGAGGTTAAAACTTTAGCATCGACTGCTGGAATCAATCCTGTAAGTCTGTTAGCGAAATATCTCATGAATAACTGAAACTTTCTAAAAGCAAAACTATGAATATCTGCAACTTGTGGAGTAAATCCAGCTCAAGCTGATTTTAATCTAAAACTCCTGCACAACATGTGGCGGGCGATATGCATTTCTTCACGGAATGCAAGGCCTTTCTTTTACCTTTCCGGGCTAGCAGATTTTTTTTAAAGAGCCTAGACAACCTCTAGTGGTCTGAGTGAGAACTAGATCCAGTCAGAGCTTGCATGGATGCATGACGTCCATAAAAACACCAGGATAATAAAAACAGGGAAAACTCAATAAAAGTTGGGATTAAAAAGAGCTAAAATGGTCACGAATCGGTCACGCACGGAATAAAGTTTGACTCTTTCTTTTGATTAGTTGTTTAATGTGACACACATTTTGTTTCATCAAATCATTCATTCATTGAGTCTGGTCGTGCTTTAAAAGGTTTTAGGGACTTCTTACCGGCTGTGAGGGACAAGCAGCAGAAGATGAGCAGTGAGAAGTAGCTGGAGCTCATTCTGTTCAACTTCAGCGAAACCCAAAGCTTGTCCTGTTGAGGGGAAAAGTCCCTGCGGAGGATTTTTAGTCCCGAATGACCAATAGAAAGTCGATTCGATACGTCTAAAAATAAAAGAAGGTTTGTCCTTTAAAACGTGCTTTATAAATCCACAGAGGCTTCAGGTGAAGAAGGAGGCAGCAGCCGAGGTTCTACCGTGTCCCATGACGCGTTCGGCGGGGGAGCGCTCCTCCAGAAGCCGCCGGGGAGGAGGCGGAGGGACCGGGCAGGTGCAGCCAAAGCCTGGAGGGAACCTCGCTCCGGTTCTAATGTTGAAGTATGAGGCTGCTTTAGATCCTCCTGGGGGATTGGGAGGGAAACGTTATAACAAGGAGGATGGAAGTCAGCGCGTGCGCCAACTGGACCAACTTCTCCCGCTGTTCGGTCTGTGCGGCGCGTGACGCGTTTTTTATAGAGACACGCAGGAAGGACGCAGCGTCACTGTGGGGAGGACACGGTTTACAGGGAAGAAGGCAAATTAAAAATGACTTAATAAATCAATTAGAACAATGATCTTTTTGTTACTGAATCCACGGGGAAGCTTTAATAAAGTTTATAAAGCATGAAAATCGATTTAAAAACAACTGAAATACTCGATTCAAGCAATTATAACAAGGTTTTTTGGTTTAGATTAAAATGTGCCCAATTATTATCTGTAAAAATTGATCAAATAATTATTCCCAGAGTGTTATTAAATGTAAAAGTAAAAAATTAATTTGAAAGCCCCAAATAAATCAATCTAAACTTGTTTAAATCAATCTAAGCTGAGTTTAAAACAATCAAAATTGAGTATAAATAATCTAAACTGGTTTGAATCCGTTTAAACTGGGTTTAAATCAAACTAAACTGGGTTTAAACTCATTTAAACTAGTTTAAATCAATCTAAACTTTGTTTAAATCAATATGATTGAGTTTAAATTAATCTGAACTGGGTTTAAATCAATCTAAATTCGATTGAAATAAATCTAAATTAAGTTCAAATCAATCTAAACTGGTTTAAATCAATCTAAACTTTGTTTAAATGGCTTGAGTTTAAATTAACCTGAACTGGGTATAAACCAATCTCGTCTTGATTTAAGTAAATCTAAATTAAGTTTAAATCAATCTAAATAGAGTTTAAATTATGCTAAATTGGGTTTAAATCAATAGGATTTAGTTTAAAAGGATCTGAACTGGGTTTAAATCAATCTAATCTTGATTTAAATCCAACTAAATTAAGTTTAAATCAATCTAAACTGTCTAAGCACAAGCAGAACTGGTTTATTCCACTTTAGAGTAAGCTGTTGGAGGAAGAATCAGTTTTGTTGTGTGTTTCTTTGACTGATGAAGCCTTCCGGATTGAAGGCGAAACGTTTCAGCACAAAAAAAGACAGTGTCCAGATGACCTGACTGAAAAATGTTGGATTTTATACCTGGATTATT